TATTAGCAGATGCTGCCTGGCCTGACCTCATCTAGTTCTCTACTTTATCACATGGCATTTCGTTTTTAAACTCTTAAAGGCCAAATAATCCCATGGCAGGCCACATTCAGCCCAAAGGACAGGAGCTTGGTACATGTGCTCTATCATAATGCTATTGAATATTTGGCGTCTGTGCAAAAGGTTCTGATTGGTCAGGTCTGGGATCAATTTATGATCCCTATGTTCACCACTGAGAAGAAAAGACAAGATAATGATCGTATTTATTGTAACTGTCATAGTTTTTGGATAGTTTCTTGGTATTTTGCTATTACTTTAAACTACTTCACTCTCTGTGTATATAAAATTTAAAAAAAGTTAGCTAACTCATAACTTGGGGGAGTGATTGCCTAGTGGTTAGAGCAGTGCACTGAGAAGGTTGCAAGTACCTGGTTGGATCCCCACAGCCTGCACTCTGGGCTCCCTGAGCAAGACCCTTAACCCCACACTGCTCCCGGGGCACCGCACAATGGCAGCCAACTGCTCCCCAAGGGGATTGGTCAAATGAAGAGGTCAATTTCTCCAGTGTGAGATTAATAAAATTCAATTATTGTTCTTAAGTCCAGCATGCTCCCCCAAAAAAGCTGAAACAAAAAAAACAGAGTAGCTTTACTTCACTCTTTTCAGCCTTCATATTATCTGCCAAAATTATTCCCCTCTCTTTGAAAGCCAACCAAAAAAAAAACTGCTGTAATGTCTCTGTAAAAATCAAAAACTGATTTCTTATGAATGGCTTCTTATAAGCTTTGTGCTTCCCTTTCAGTTCAGAAGGACTTTTTGGCACAAATGTTGAGCCATCTGCACTGAGTATCAGCATCCTCATTGAAACTGTTATCAGTGCTATCAGTACCACCTTTTAGAGCGTAGGTGTGTGGTGTTCAATGACTGGAAAGAGATCAGAGAACGATAACCCAAGACATGGTAAATGGTAAACGGCATGTACTTATATAGCGCCTTTATTCAAGTTAGGAGACTTGACCAAAGCGCTTTACACTACATTCATTCACCCATTCACGCACACATTTATGGTGGCAAGCTACATTGTAGCCACAGCTGCCCTGGGACTCACTGACAGAAGCGGGGCTGCAGTACACTGGCGCCACCGGGCGGATATTTGCCTCAGTTTACTCAACACACATCACTTTGGGGAGAAAAAAAAAACAGCTTTGCATTTAAAGCCAATCTCAACATGTAAAGCATACAACAGTCAAAATGGCAGAAATGTATAAAGAATTGTGCCAATAGGGTACATGTATTTTAAATACTCATAGGAGCAGTTTTGTTCATGTAAACTACTCTCAATGAACAGTTTGAACACTTTATATGCAGATTCAATGCAATGAATCAATCATGCAATATGTAACATGCATGATTGATTCCTCCTTCTTTGCACTCATGGCTTGAACAGACCTGTTTCTACATGTTTGTGACAAATTTTTTAAACTACCAGAGATGGTTTACTGTCTGTTATTTGCTGCTTTTCAGGAACTCCCACCTCTTGAGACAGTAATATATTCTTTCTGGCTGTGGCTAATAATGTTAGCAAAGCATCTTAAGGTCATTACTAATCTCTTCAATAGTTTAATTCTGACTTGATTCTAACAGACATCCATCCATTTTCCGTCACGCTTATCCCAAGCGAGGGATACTGGTGTCTATCTCCATCTGTCTATGGGTGAGAGGCGGGGTACACGCTGGACAGGTCGCCAGTCCATGGCAGGGCAACACAGAGACAAACAGGACAATCAACTTTTCATGCACACACTCACACCTAAGGAGAATTTAGAGACGCCAATTAACCTAACAGACAGGTTTTTGGACTGTGGAAGCCAGAGTACCCGGAGAGAACCCACGCATGCTCAGGGAGAACATGCAAACTCCATGAACCCAGAACCTTTTTGCTGCAAGGCAGCAGTGCTACCCACTGCGTGCCGAGCAGCCCGTTCGATAGACATCTTCGTCATCAATTGATAGCTTTGTCAACACAATGATGGACAAAAAATGCAAATGCTTATCATTTGCTGTAGATGTCATATCTCTATTTATGTCTGTGTCTTTTGCCATCCTCAATATGAGCTAAATTTGGTTTAGATCATATGAAGTTCCAAATGTAACATTAATCATAAATTTGGAGCGTATAGCTATGCTGCCAGAACATATTTTGACTGTTATTTAATGAAGACTTTACCTGTTTTTATCTTTTTAAGAGAACCCTAGCCTGGAGAGGCTTTGTAAATATTACTAGCCACAAACAAGAAAAGACATTTATTGTCTGAAGTGGTGGGATTTCCTTCAGTGTTGGTTCCATCGTCAAAGTAACAAAAGTTGAAACGAACATCCAAAAACAGAATCACAGGCAAGGAGGAGAGAGTGTTAAATAAAATGGCTCCTATGAGTCTATTATTACATATGTTCCATTTTGGCAGAATTCTAATTTCATAAAAATATTAAAAAAAAAAAAAAAAAACAGAAAAAAAGCAGTGACAAGCAAAAAAACATTTTTATGTAAAGACAACATATTTACCACATTACCACATGCTTCTATATTTCGCATTGACAGCAAAATGGAATCTGTCTGCAGAATTTATGCTCACATGACAACAAATATTTTCCGTTTCCTAGATACGGGGAGGGGGGGTCAACTTACCCAGTGGCCCCTCTTACCCACCTCCTCTCTGTTATTTTAATCTAATAAAACCAGTTACCACCATGTTGGCAGGTTCATTGCTTTTACAGCTCATCTGATAGAATTGGATTGAATAGAATAGCCTCTATTTCCCCTTGATGGGGACCACAGTATGTTCCAGCAACAAGTGGAACATAAATAGGAGCATTCAGGCTCTGACAAGGGTAAGAAATCGCTCTTGTCCCAATAACTGCGACTGATACATAATCAACCAAATCGGACCACAGATTGCAGTTTAATTATCTTTATTGTCTTGCCATGTCATTGCTGTTGAGAGTCCCCTATCTCCTCCAGTCAGCTGCTTGTGGTTAGCAATTAGCCAGCACGCTCTGTGGCTCCCACCCCACACACAAACACACACACAAACACACACATAGTGGGTGTGCTAATACTTTATTCAGGCCCTGTGGCCGTGCTGAAATAAGCTGATTTCTCCTCTGCTTCTCCTGCATGTAAGCTGCATTTAGAATAATTAGAGGATGCTAAGCTTTGTAATACCTCTGCAGTGTTTTGTCAGAGGTCAACACGGAAAGTAAAGTCAGTGTATTGTGTTCACCAAAGAGGAGAACGTCACTCTATGAATGTCAAAAGTAAAAGTTTTTGTGTCCCTTTAACTTATTTTGTCAAGTTTTATTTTGATGAACACAGCTTTAACATCCCGTTGAGTATCGTATATATTCAAAGAGGATGTAACAAGAGTGCAAACTGAGCATTGAAGTTATATATTTTCTGAGAAGCAACCTGAAGGATGTTCACCTTATAGAGCAAGGATGACTCCAAACATACAGCCAATGCTAAAGTCATTATAAGCACGTGTCCAAGTGGTCTAGTCAAAGTACAGATTGTTGGTCTGACAGATAATAATCCAATGATATACATTTAATGTTTGTGGTTCTAAAGTGATTAAATAACAGAGCTGTTACTTTTTTAAGGTACTCTTTAGTTTAATTTATGTTCCCTCTATACCATTGATGTCCAAAGTGCAGCGTGGGGCCATGTGTGGCTCAGGATGATTTTTCAAGGCCCTTAACCAGATTTCATGAATGCAGTAAATATGTTTTGTCATCCCAGGCAGCTGATGCAGATACATGTCTATGAAATGTTAAGTTATAAATTTGGCCTACATGAGACCTTTAAAAAAGTGAATGTAAGGCTTAAAAGGATCCCGGTTTTTCAATTTAAGTTTAATTAAATGATAAAAAGAATCTAAACCATCCTGTGGCAGACTCGTAGCTACCAAATTATTAATCTTGGCTAAATAAAGCAAACGTGAGATGTTTTCATATCCTCTTTTTGCTTGTTACAATACAAACACGAAAAAAACAATAAGCCTGAAGCCATTCGACTTTTGTTTTGTTTTGCTTCATTAACAGCAAGACTTTCTCTGTTTTGGATCTACCAGGACTTAGTCAACGTTCAGACTGCACTGCAGAAGCAGCAGAAACAGCTAGTTTACATGCAAAGTCAATGGTTGACCCGCATCAAGGCGCAGAAAAAGCTGCATTTTGAGAAGCAGGAGCAGTACCTCATGTGCTTCTGAGCATCTGACGCATGGGATTTGCTTCAGAAGCAGCAGCAGCAGGAGTTAGAAAAATTTGATTTCTGCTGCATCAACCAATCAGAGAAGCTGATCTGGGAGCTGGCAGGAAGACAGACACAGTACTGCTCATGCAGATCGCTATGATCACTCCTCTGAAACAGTTTATTAACGCCTAAATTAACTTAAAATGTCAAAACCTGCCAGCAAACTATGTCCACTTTTATTATTTTGGGACCTGTTGGTAGATTATGTTGATGAAAAACACCTTCCATCAGCTGTAAACGGTAGTGGAAAACTAAAAAGAGGCTAATATTTGAAGGTGGATCGTAATCTTCATGAACTGACTGCACAGATGAAGTTTTCAGGTGAACTTTCTCACAGAAAAACATTAAAACTACTTATTACCCACTGATCACAGCAAATATATATATACTTTTCGACAGCCCAGCTAGAGTAGCAGAGATGCTTCAGCTGCGCGTCAGAACAAAACTTGTACAAGCATCAAAAATGAAGCAGCACGCATGTATTTGTTGCTTCTGATGCGTGCGGCCTGAACGTAGCACAACTGTATTTCTCCATTTTCTATAGAAATCAAAACCGCTGCACTTTTTTCTATTAAATATTACAAGTTAGGTTTACTGTTGAGCGGGTAAAACTGAAAATAATAAATATATATTTTCTACAATTTTAATAAACGTAACGAGTCTTAACGTTAACTGTTTTCTTCATTCTTTCCAGGAGCGGGAGCTTTGCAGGAAGAGAAAAGAATGTGAAAACCTTGAGCATGAAGTAAAGAAGCGACAGAAGAGATGTCTGGATTTAGTAAGAGAAAGTTGAACCTTTGTTTCCTCCTCTTGTCACCTGGTGTTAATGTTGCATTGGAAGGAACAGTGAGTCTGAAAGCTGGGCTTGTTTTTCTAACAGGAGAGCCAGCTTGAGGATGAGCGAGGCAAACATGAGCAACTAAAGGAGGAGGCAGAACTCCTCAGGAGGAAGGCGCAGCTGCTCGACCAGGTCCGTGTCTCTCAACTCTTTTTGGCTACTAACGGTTTCATTGGGAACCGGCCGGTTGACGTGTTTCTGTCTCTCAGACTCGGGCTGAGAATGAGGAGCTGAGGGAAGATCTCTCTGAAGTGACCGCTCAACACAATTCAGTTCTCGAAGAGAACCAGAAACTCCGTGCCAAACTGGAGAACCTAGAGCAGGTCCTAAAGGTATTTCATTACACATGCCAAACTTTGTTATAAAACCAAATATGTTTCTCATTTATTCAGACATTCTTTTATTTTATTTTGGGGTTGGGTTTGTGTCTTGTTATGTTTTTTTTCCATGACAGCATATGCGAGAGGTCGCCGAGCGAAGGCAGCAGCTGGAGTTGGAGCATGAGCAGGCACTGGCTATCCTTAAGTTCAAGCAGGATGAGATCAAAAGGTTGCAGCGGGTGAGAACCTCAGGAACAAAAGTTTGTCTCCATAGCAGCATAATTAACAGGCCCTCATTGTGTTCTGGTACAACGGGCTGTTTTGACCAGCAGGAGGCAACCTTAGGGCATAATAAAAGTTTTTCATCCGCGTAGCTCTCTGTGCTGCAAATTGCCCTACTAACTATTGACCAACATTTATGTCTTTTTACTTATTAGGCTCAGTTATTTGCCAAGAGGGAACATGAAGGAGTGGTTCAGATGCTGGAGGTGAGTTTCCTGCACTCGTTATGAACCCAAATAAACACTTTAAATATCATACAGCACTTCTGCTCTCACTAAAAACCCCTGAGGTGCTTCTAAGAGGTGAACTGTAACAGAATGTGCAGGAAAAATTATATTAAAGAGACGATCCTACAGTTTTATAAGAGACCTCCCTGTTGTTTTTTTTTATCTAAACCCTCCACTTAGATGCAATAAAGTCTGATATATAAATGATTAAATAAGAGCTGGCTCATATTAAGCAAAAAGAACAGGTTTTTGCTTTTAAAACTTTTCAGAGAGGCTGCTGCTTTTGATGTTGAAAGAGAGGAGAACGGTTTGAACGGTTTGTTTTCTCTGTTGCTTGTTGACGTTCATGCTGCCTCTGGGCTCCAAAATAAGAATAACCCAAACCAGACAGCAGCAGTTTAACACCCCGTCTAATTGGCTAGTGGTTTTAAATTTGAAGCAAGAAAAAAAAAAATCCTTTTGAGAGCTTTTTGTTCTCTTTGCTTCGTCATGTGACACTTGATGCTAAGTTGTCGTCAGCATCAAGCTTCATTACATGCGGTGCATTTTGTTTAGAGATTCCTTTTTTTGTTTCCCTAAAGAAGTATGTGTTTTATTTTAGGCATTGACAGAGCTCGTGCTGCGGAGGGAGCTGGTAGAGTATATTTGCTCCTGTTTTTTTTTTTTTGTTAAACGGCTCACTTCCTCCTTCCTGGCTCCTCTCGATTTCTGTCTCTTGATTTCAAACTCAAAGCATCACAGGAGAAAGTCTCCGTCCTGCAGAGAGCGTAGACTCGATGCGCAGGCCTTTCCCCCCAGTCTGCTGGAAAAACATGTTTTCAAGAAGATTAGCAAGAACATTTGCTTTTATTAGAAAGGCAGATGTTGGCTCCTGAGGGCCGAGAGACATTCTAGTGATTCTGGCTGCTGACCTGGACTCAAACTTCTGCTTCTTCTGCCTGACTAAAATACATTTTTATCCTTCCAGAATCCTTTTTTTTTAATTTGTCTGACGCACGTGTTTGTTTTTTATGAACCTCTGGTTTGTCCTTTGCTTTCTTGCTGCTAACCAGAGCACACTGGACTGCATGCAGGTACTTTCTGCCCTCCTTGGATCAATCGTTTCCCTTCCTTAACCTCCATGTGGCTCATTGAATTAAAAAAACCTAGCTGGGCTGCTTTAGTTTAATCCCCTCACCACGATACACATGAACCTCGTAGTTTCTAGTGCTTCTAGCGACTTGATTTGCAGTGTCTGCTTACTAAAGCCTTGTTTAAATCAGGCCAATCACCCCAGGCCAGAAACAGATCTGTGACACAGTTTGAACTGAGAACATTTCACCACATTTATCATATTTGCTCATCTTGCTCCATGTAGGCAACAAAACAGATTATTGTTTCTCACAGGTTGTGTTTTTTCCCTCAAGCTTTAGAAGGTGGTTCTGGCAGTCCTGTAGCTAAACCACTGTGTAGGTGAGAGATGACAGGAAATGTTGTTCAGACAGTTTCAGCCTGCAGCTTTTGTCAGACCAGCCTGTTTAAAAACTCCCACCACAACCGGAAGTGAAATCAGCCACTTATAGAAACTGGAGTTGAGCTGTGTATCCCCCTCAACACCCCCATCCCCTACAAAGCTATAGCAAACAACCTCCCTGCTCACTGATTTTATGTGGGTTGAAGAAAAAAGCAATGAGTTAAATGTTGATCTTTTAAAGGTTTCCTGACTAAATTTCCCCTTTTCTACCATAACTGTCTCACTCCTATTGCCCTCTACTACTTCTACTTCCCAACAGTCCTAAAGGTGTTTCTCACCTGTGTTTGTGTCTGTTCTGCAGAAACCGTCTCTATTTCTTAGCTTATCTTCTGACCAGAGCTGTCAGGTTTGAATAAACTGAGTAAAATTCACCTAAAAAAAGTGGACATTGAAAAAACTAAAGGTTTCTGCAGAGCACTGATATTCACAGGGCCTTCATAAAGTGTTCATACCATAGCTTTTTAAAAATGATTATTTTTCCTGTTAAAATCATAAACTTCCTTGTATTTCATGCGATATGTCTGTTTGATATATCAACACAAAGTAGACAATAATCATAAAGTGAAAGAAAATGATCCATGTTTTAATTTACCTAAAAATTATTTGCCATGTCTGTCTGTTCCTACCCCTTTAGTTTGATG